TAGCACTCGTCTCCAGGCTGAGGGGGGAGGGGCACTGGGACAAACACATGACTCAACACACACACAAAAAAGGGGGGGGGGGGGCATTAAGAGCTTGGCATGTTCCAGGCATTAGTTCATAGAGTATCTGTGAAGATGACACAACGTGAGGTCCTCTCAGACGAGCGACCCCCACACCGGTGCAGGCCTGGGCTGGTTTCAGAAACATCTGGAACTGTTCTCCGTGGCAGCTCTGTGGGGAACATGGAGGCGTTCCTGCTCCCACCGACCGCAGCCGGAGGGCGTGTGGGGGGTTCAGTCAGTTAGAAAATGCAGAAGTCCTCCTCGGGACAGGGAAGAAGAAGAATTAGAAGTCCATCCATCTGTAGTGTTTTTATCCGGTTCCACCTGGGCTATGGAATTTGATTTAGGGAAATTCCAACTCAATACATTCCTTCATGTCTGACAGGGTGGGGGGGGCGAGGTTGCGGAGGGGGGGCTGTACAGTGAGGCCCAGTGCATTTCCCCATTTTGTATTTTTCAAATGAGGTAGGACAAGGTTCAGTCACTTGTTCAACCCTCTGAAGTTCTACAGGTTCCGTCTTGCAGGCAAAACAAAAAACCGTCAGGCGGGGACGACACAATGGAGATGAGAGCGGAGGGGAGACGACCACACGGGTGAAAACCTGGTCCTCCCGTCAGTCACTTCTCCAGCAGCTGCTTCCTCTGCTGCTCCCACAGGGCCTCCAGGTGATCCGCCCTCTTCAGAGCAGCCTATCAGAGGAGAGGGCAATATTTATAGACGCTGTCAATCATCACTCTGTCGCTGTTATCTCATCAGTGATGTTTTGACAGAAAGAATTCAGCCCCTCACCTCGTGCTGCTTCCGGAGATTACTGACCGTTTCTTCCTTCTTCAAGATGGCTGACTTCACTCTGGAAAATCATGGGAGAATGCGTTAAATATGTGATAAGCTGTTTCCAGACATGAAATCTGTAGAATTGGCTACAGGGTTAACCTGCAGACACAGAGCGGAGAGTTTAAGTTTCCACCTTTTATTCATGTTGAACTGCATCTTTAGCTTGTGTTAGCTCAGTTATTAGTGTGTGGATGGAAGGACCAAACATATTAAACCCTATTTTTTAAAGCCATGATCTTCCTGCCCTTCATCTTACCGTTTATGGACCTCAGCCAGCTCCTCCTCCTTCTCCCTGGTCACCCTCTCCACCTCCAGCCGCAGCCTTGCCCTGACCTCCGACACCTCCACTTTCATCCGGCGGTTCTCCTCCTCCGTCATCACCAGCCGGTCAGCAAACTCCTGCCTTATCACGTCTGCCAGGCTGCGGCGCTCGTCTGCCAGCTTGTCCCTGGTCTGTAGAGACGAGTCCGATGAATTCAGAGGAAAACGTTTTGTATTTAAATGTTTCCACTTAGAAATGACAGAGATTTATTCTCTACCTGTGTGATGTCCTCAATCTCCAGTTCTTTCTGTCTGAGCATGGCCTGAAGTCGGATCAGCTCTCCCTCCGTCTCCATCTGCTGCTTCCTCAGCTCTTGTTGTTTCTCCACAGCCGCCCTCTCCGAGCGCTCCAGCTCCCTCAGCTCAGACTCGAATTTCTCCCTCAAACGCTTCACCCTGAGAACACAGAGCATCACAGCTTGGTGTTGATGCAGACTTTATTCACACACAGCCAGGATTTGCAAAAAGAAGCACGTAACTGTAGGAAGTGACAGAGTACGTGGGAAGTATTCTTTGTCGTACTGTATAGTGTTAAAGGGTAGCCACACCCACCTGTTGTCAGCTGCCCTCTCACACTCCTCCTTGTCCTTGCTCGTTTCGTCCTCCAGCGTCCAGATGGCGAGTTCAATCTCTTTGTCGCGTTCTCGTCGCAGCTCGTCTTTGAGCTCGCGCTCACGGCTCAGAAGCCACGCCTCCTATAGAGACAAAAATACACCTGATGTCAGCCCTGGTGGAAGATTGAATTCTTTACTTATTGACGGACATCTCTGCAGCGGACGTGACTCTGTTCTTCCTCAGTGGATCTGAGGCTGCACAGGTTCAGTGCATCAACAAACCTCTTTCTTCTTGTAGTTTCCTTCCCAGGTTTGCTTCTCGATGGCCAATCGTTCTTGTAAGGCCTTCATCTCCACCTGCTCACACAAACACCCTGTTACTTTGCTGCAGACCTGATAACTGCCTGAAGTGCATGTTACTCTGCTCAGTCCACACTCTTCACCTGGTGCCTCCTCTCCTGCTCCTCTCTGGTTTTGTCCAGCTCTTCTCTGAGCGCTCGTCCAGCCAGAGAGTTGTTCTCCTCCAGCTGCCGCCGCAGATCCTCCAGCTCCACTCGCTGCCTGTGACACAAACACAAAGAAGAGCCGTTAAAATTCACTAACACTATCAACATACTGTTCAGCATCTGAAAAATACAGATGATTCACTCAGGACCTTTTGGAAAACAGTGAAGATGCAACTGGAAAACAAACCAACAGGGTCCAACTATGATGTTGCAGAAACAGAATATATTCAGTCCACTGTTATTTACCAGGTTTTGCAGTTTAAGAGCTTTTAAAAAGTCTTATGTTTCCTGCAGGGGAGACATGTTTTCAAGATTTAAAGGATCAGTTCTGAGCAGTTTTCATAATAAACCAGTTTCTGTCAGATTTTGTTTGCTTTGTTTCCTCAGATTCTCATTACAGAGACAGAGAGGGAGAGATGGACGAATGACCTTTGACCGTACCGTGCAGCCAGCTGGGCCAACCTCTCCTTCTCATCAGACACCTCCTTGTAGAGACGCCTCCTCTGCTGCTGCAGGGACAGCTCCTCCTCCTGAAGCTGCTTCTCATACCTGACACAAACAAACACACAAACAAGGGACTCATTAACAAACACCTGTTGAACAGTCTTTCATGTGCTGCTCTCATTAACTCTGCTGAGTGTTTCTCCTCATGTAACCTGAAAGGAAAAGTCTCTCTGGTTGTTTCTCTCTCTCTCTCTTTCTTTTCTGTACAAACAGCACAGGTTTCTTCGCTTCCATAACAAGCATGGAGAAGAATGTTGAATCACCCGAAGATTGATGACCATGTCTCTCAGGTTTTGAAACATGAAGCTCAACAAAGGCTGCTTTGTCTTTGCCCACCTCTGTTTGGCGAGTTCCCTCTCTCTCTGACTCTGCTCTTCCTTCTCCTTCTCCAAGTGTTGGCGGAGCTCTTCACACTGGCGGACGTAGCGCTGGGCCGCCCGGTCGTCCGCCTGCAGCAGCTCCGCCTCGTGGAGCGTCCGCAGCTTCTTCAGCTCCTGTTTGTGTTTAGAGATCAGCTTCTGGATCTCCGGCTCCAGACCTGAGAGTGGAGGAGCAGAGCAGAGAAGTGTTTACAGCTCATCGGATAAAACGAAAAAAAAAAAAAAGAGGAAAGATGAAGTTATGAAGTTTTTAATAAATAATTATAAATTAGTATTTTCATGAGTCAGATTCCTGTAGGGCGGTTGTTGTTACAGACATATTGGTGAGAACTAGAGTAAATACAGTTGAGCGGTGACTCAGTAAAGAAATACACAAATTCCTGTTACTCCAGAGCTGTGACTGCACAAACACTCATCACTTCCTGACAACGACATTTCATGGGATCATCACAGGAAAAAGGAAAAACGGGGAATAACACTGTGAGTTTCAGGAAGTTGAACCGAGCATGAAAACATCCCAAACCAAGGTTCAGCAGGAGGAACTATGGGCGACTTTAACTTATTAACTTTATTTATTAATCCAGAGTTCAAATTAACTACACTCCCTTTTAAAGGGAAGCTGTTTCCTGCCGGGAGGTCAGAGCCGACGGCAGCTTCAGCAGCTGAGAAGAAGCTGAATCAGCTCAAACACCTTGTTAAAGATTTCATGAGAAAAAGTTTGTTCATCCTAAAACGGGGCAAATGTGAAAAGACAGAATCATGCCGAATCACTGACGTAGCTAATGTTGGAGGATTCTGTTGGGAATAAAAATGCTCACAGGAAAACAGTTCCCTTAAAAAAGATGGAACTACACAGGTTTTGCTTTTTGATCCTTAATTTTTTATAAAGAAATCGTTTAAACCACAGATTTCCACTCGGAGGCTCTGGCTTCACTACCTTTCACAGTGATCTCTTTAATCTTCTTGGTTTTCTCGTCGATCCATTTCTCGCGGCGTATTTTCTCCGTGGCGCTCATTAGGTCCTTCAACTTCTTGATCTCCTGTCGAGGGACGAAGGGTGTGGGGAAGAGGGTAAATTATAGCGATGGAGTGGATTCACAGTGAAGTGATGTCATGAATGTCTCCGTTCTAGGCCCTGAGATGAAGTCGAGCAGATGCCGCCCCAGATTCAGCTTTTACATCATAGCGATGGGGGCGAATTTGAGTTTGTTAAAAGATCAAATATCAAATTTAGAAACACCACAAAGGAAACAAGAGGAAGAGGAGAGTGGAAACTAATTCTGGACAAGACAATTTACAGAATAACATAAAACACTGAAAGCTCAATATCTTAATCTAGAGATGAGAAAAGACTGAGGGGACTCACATGCAGACACACTGTCCGAGAGATTTTGTGTGGGATAAGTGAAATGAAAAGAGGAGTGGTAGAATGAGAGAGATGATCATGCCATGGATGAACAGGTTAGAGGAAGATAAAACAAAGTTACCTCGCACAAGGGACCCAGAATTTGCCAAACCTAAAGCCAGGAAAAGACAGACACGCCGACGGAGACAGAGAAAAGCAGCGAAGAAGAGGAAAAGAGGGAAAAACAGAGAATAGACAGTTAAACAAAGGCAACACAGCAAGAAAGCAAGATACAAGACGCAAAGCACAGGCAGAGAGGCAGAAGCTGTTTGCAGTGGAAAATAAAAAGTGCAGACACTGATTCTTGAATCTCCAGGGAAACATTCAATCACTGGTGTTATCCACCATCTCACCATTTCATGCTGCTCCTGCATCTGTGCGATCTTCTTGGTGTATTTCTGATCCACCAGCTTCAGCTCTCCCACCACTCCCTCACAGCGCTCACTCAGAGACTTCTTATCGTTGATCAGCTGAAGAGCACATTGCAAACCAGTCAGAGAAAAATGAAGCGATAGGTTGCAGCTGAGATTACACTGTGCACATTTAACTACCTGATCAATGAAAGTGAGGTGTCTCTGGATGGTGGACTCATATTGTTCCTTCTGGAGATGGAGGTTTCTGTTCAGCTCCTTCTCCGTCTCATTCACATGTCTCACCGTCAGCTCCCTCTGCTGGGCCTGACGGACACAGCACAAGGACGATTAACAAACTTCAACTCAAAGTATCGTCACTTCGAGGAAAATACAGGGAATTCACTGTGAGGCGGGTGTAACTCCTCACCAGCGCCACCTGCAGCATGTTGACGGTGCGTTTTTTCTCCTCCAGCTCCAGCTTGATTCTCATCATGGATCCGGTGACTTCGGCAGCGGTGGCCGATGCCTGCTCAACGCCGACCAGCTCCTCCTCAGACAACACAGCCTGAGAACACACACATACAGTTTTTATCAATATGTATTTTCATGTCAAGACAATTAGGATCAGAAATAAAGACAGATGTTACTGGGATGGGGAAACACTGATAAACCAAAACAAAGAAATGAAAATTAGTCGCTGTGTTGCTGCAGCCATGATTGCAGAATAAAGTGCAGACCTCTCTGTGTGATCCTGAGGTGACCGAGCGAGGTCTCTCCTGTTCAGACTTCTCCATCTCATCGAGGAAGCTCATGATGCTCTGCAGCTTGGCCTCAGAGAGCAGGGCGCCCCCGTCTGGTAGTGCGGGGTGGTGGCTCAGCTGCCTGTGGCGCTCCAGGTTGTCAGTGGTCAGAGAGTTGGAGTCTCGGTCCTTTAGATGAGACACAGTAGAAGTGAAGAAGTGAAGGTGCTTATCTTCAGTCTGAAGATGAAAACCTTCAGACTGAAGCACTTCAGAACTAAGAGCACTGATACTGACCTCATCTATCCAGGCGTATTTCTCCTTGCGGTAGCACTTCGGCTCGGACAGCCTCTCCGGCTCGTCCTCTAACAGCTTCAGAGTGTCCAGCAGCTCGTTGAGCGTAGTTTTAGACTGAGCTCTGCTGGACAAAGCTCCCTGACGCTGCTCCTCCACATTCACAGACCTCTGCAGAGCTTCCTAGAGTAAGGACATTTCACATGTGTTTAATAAAAGGACCAAAAAGAAAAACTGATTTAATAATGGTGAGTAACTTTGATCATTTAACTTTATAATTACGAACCTGGGAACACTGAGACCCTCTGCGATTGGAGAACGATGGGGAAACGGCTCTGAAGCTGAGCTCCACTATGTCAGTCCCGACATTCAGATTGGTGTCTATGGAAACATTTGACCAGTACGTTTATTACAGGATTCTCTCACATCATTTTTTTAGAGACCTTAACTGCACATGTAGATGTTTTTGACGACCTGTGTTCTTAGTTTTGATGTCTGTTGGGGACATCGGGCTGTTGTTGCTCGGCGAGACTGGACTTCTGTGGGTCTGGATAATCTTTGGTGGCTTCTTGCGTTCAATCACACCAGCCGGCTTCATGCTTTCCGCTTCAGCTGCGTGCTGTGCCTCTGCCACTCGCTGGGTTCTTTTTTGCGGCAGCTCCTGCACCACACCACCAGAGGGAGACATTACAAAACATTACAAAAGTGTTGAGAACCAAACTCAGTGTGATGTGATTGTATTCTTAAACACTCCTTTAACCCTGAATGAGAGTTTACTGCAAAGTACGTACATCAGCTGTGATCACCTGCACAGCAGCCAGGCGGGCCAGACGAGATTTCTCTTTACGCATCAGTTTCCTGTCGTTCTCCTGGTGCTGCTGCTCCTGGTGCTGCTCCTCCTCTGCTCTGTCCTCCTGCAAGAGAAAAGTCCAGAGGATTTTTAAACATCAGGAGGTTGGAACAGCTTGTGATTGTGAGCTATTAGGATTAAAGAGTTGTTACCTGGGAACACTGAGAGCCTCTGGGATTGGACAGAGCAGGAGAAATGGCTCTGAAGCTCAGTTCACTTACGTCGGCCACAATGTTCAAATTTGAGTCTGTGGAACCATAACCATCAGGACACCAGTCAGAAGTGGCAGATGTTAAGTTAAAGATGTAATAACATGATTCTGGATGTTAAAACTCAGGTGCTACTGCACAGTGTGTGAAGAAAAGCACCCAGAGAAGAACAAACCTGTGTTTTTGGCTTTGACAACTGTGGGCGACACGGGGCTGTTGTTGCTCGGCGTGGCCGCTGGACTTTTGTTGGTCAAAGAAATCTTGGGTGGTTTCTTCCGCCCAACCCCACTTTGCCGCGGGTTTTCAAGCTCCAGATCGGCCACATGCTGCACCTCTGCAACCCGCTGGGCTCGTTTCTGCTGCAGTTCCTGCACCACACCACCAGGGAGAGACATGGGACAGTGTTATAAACCATCTCAAACCAAGCAAAACATGCACAAAGAGTCTCAAATGATTAAATAATGCTTTAAATTGTGCTACATGATCATAGATTAGGGTCAATAGATGTCACGTTCTAACATCTCAAGCATGTGGTCCGTTGTTTAGGAGCTGGACACATTCTGGGGACTAAAGCTGTGGCTCTATTTCTCTATTGCATGTCTTTTAACTTCTCCAGTAAATCGGAGCTGGGCACCTGGATGGCAGCGAGGCGAGCCAGACGAGCTTTCTCTTCACGAATCCGTTTCCTGTCTTCGTCCCTTTTCTGCAGCTGCTCCGGGCGACTGTCCTCCTCTGTTCTCTCCTCCCACTCCTGCGAGGAGAACAAACGGGTCTTGTTTATACTGAGACAAACCCAGTTGAGACTGTGGAGAATGAAAGGTAAGGAGTACAGCAGCCTGAGGACAGATGGATACCTTTCTTTTACTTGCGAGGATTCGTTTGAGCGCTGCCTGGTTTGTGTGTCGTCTCTTGGCCTGACGCCTGTACCAGCGCTGGATGGTGACTGCTGCCTGGTTCACCTGCTGAATAAACCTTCAAACACATAGAGGACTGCTGTGAGTCACAGAACAATTAAACATCAATACATCATTAAGAACATCATTCATGTGTCCAACCTTTCAGCCTCCTCCTCTGTGACCTCCTTCCTCCGCAGCAGGACGGGGCTGCCGTGGAGAGCCAACACTGGAGACCTGTTGTTGGAACTTAAAGATGTTGAGGAGAAATTCTTCTGGGACTTAGTGAGGGATCCGTTCTCCAGTGACACTTCATCATTTGCTGTAGCTTTCAGGATGTTGCTGGGAGAAAAAAATACAAAACCAGATGAGTGATTTATCTTCAATGACCAACTGGTCGTAAACAAAACTGGCTGATGTGAAGAATTATTTTCTTTATGGCCAATATCAGCTGAACACATTTGGCTTGGCCTTATTAAAAAGATCTCTAAAACCATGACAGGCATCTGATTATGTTGAGTGCACAACATACTTAAAGGACGGCTTCTGGTTGGAGCTCTTTGGCGTGAGCGGTTTCTCAGAATAGTTGTTGTGTAAGATGGTGGTGACAGAGTTCCCCACAGCTCCCTTGTTGCTCCTGGGAAAAACAGAAAGGCACGACGACACTGCAGGAGACGATTGACAAACTCATGGAAGCTCACGTGATGATATCAGTCTGAAGAGAATGCCACTGCCATCTCTTTTCACCTCACACCCCTCGAGGCATTACAGTAACTGATACTGTACATGCGGTGACACAAATTCTTACCGCATCACAAACTCAGCCCACACGGTTTTCTGACATTTACATGGAAACATGTCCGAGTGTGTGGGTGGAATTCCTGAAGGCGGTATCAGCTGCCGTGATCAACAGGTATGAAACACGAGAAGCAGGCAGAAGCCCAGAATGCAGCAGTGCAGGTAGTTACGGGGCTGGTTTTGCACATGTCCCTGTTCTACCAGGTCTATTTGTGTGTGTGTGTGTGTGTGTGTGTGTGCACGGGGATGTGTCAAGGCGCTGCCCACCTGTTGTTGGCGGTGAAGGTGGCGGCCAGAGCAATGCCAGGCTCTCTCTTCTTCAGGCTGGTGGGAGAGTCCACGCTGCCGGTGCTACGAGGGCTCGAGTGCACAGGAAAAGCTCTGGGCTGATCGTCCTTTAAAAAATGAAACAGTTAATGCACGATGAGGCTTCAGGAGGTCGGCGGTTCGATCCCAGTCTTCACCATCAGCATGCTGTAGTGTCCTCGGGCAAGATACTGAACCCTGAATTACACTTTGACTAGAAAAGTGCTATATACACACCGTTAACCATTATCTCACTTAATGTTTGGTAAAGGAGCCTTTTGGCATCTACCACAATTAAATTATTATTTGATTAAAATCATTACTTGTTTTACCAGCAGCTATTATCAGGATTAAATTGTTGTTTTCGAGAATTTTTCAAGCAAAAATACAAAATAAAAGCTGGTTGCAGCTTCTTGAATGTGGGGATTGGATGTTTTTGAAAACATTTTTTGTCAGACAATAGAAGTTAAAGAAATCTGCATCTGATAATTGAATTTAAGGAACAAAACTGTCTGTCATCTTCTCCACACAGTTTAATATGATAGTAAATATATATATATAGAAATGACAAAATAACAAATGTAGCTGATTAAAATACCAGGATGTTCCATGTGGTTCTGTCTGGCGAGGCCTTGCTGAGGCTGGACAGTGTCTTGCGTCCATCAGAGCTGCTGTCAAACAAGGCCAAGTAGTCTTCACTCTGCTCCTGACTGAGGAGCAAACAAGCCAACCACAGGTTAGGACTGTATTATACTGAACTATGCTGTTCACTACTAAATCAAATGATCACTGGTGGAAACAGGAATGTCAGAACCACATGCATTGATACAAGAGGATGGTGAAATCTGAAGAAAAAGTGTTAAATGTGTGAGGAGATCATTTCAAATATGTCCTTGTAAGTGGGGCAACGCATGTTCAGGGCTCAGTTTCACACAACACGGGCTTAGCAGAGCACGACACACAATTAAACATCTCAACACAAAGCAGGGACCTCGAGTCGGGTTGTTAGTGGCAGCTTTTGTGATTAAATGTAATGACAGCTGCAGAAATGGGTCTCATCTTCCCCCAGGCACTGGAATTCACTGCAGCAGCTGACTGGTGTGTGAGGGAGAACTCTGCTATGGATTCCGTGTTAATGCATGCACCCATATGTTGATCTCGATGGCCTGTCATTCATCTTTCAAATAGCCTGACACACCAGCGCCTCCATCATGAGGCACAGATGTAGGGTGACCTCCTGGCCTCTGTAGGTATCTGTGCTGCAGCCGGCCTGCGCTGTGCAGGGGGATTCTGTCTGGGAATTGTGGGTAAGTGTGTAAATGATTGTGTGTGTGTGTGTGTGCGTGAGTGAGTATTCGGGGGGATCAAGCCAGCTGGCCCAATGAAAAGCAATCTGACAACACTATTCAGGCAGCACATTCCTCTACTTATGCTTTGCAAGAGAGGGAGATGCATGGGGAGGGGAGGAAGCAGTGGTGAGGAGAAGGGTGGTGAGTGACCCCCAACGACAGCCCTAAAACACTCTGAGGCTCGGAGGGGGCATTGGGGGTATTTAGAATGTCTTTAAATTTAAAGCCCCTCCACTCTGCATCCTGAGAGGCAGAGAAGGGAGGGGTAAAGGCGGCAGCTGCCGGACAATAGAACCAGAGCGTGCACACTTCTCCTTTCACTGGTTCCTGGTGGAGGGGGTAACCTGACCCCGAGGTCCCGGGCCCTCCCCCTCTAACCTGGGACAAAGCAAGTGCCTGCACCCCACGACCCTAGCAACAGGCACCCAGCTTCCCTCCACTCTTTATCTTGCAGAAGCTGGCGCGCCACAATTCTCATTGTCTGACTTGCTGCAGCTTCGGGGCTGCCAGCTGTTGCTCTCTCCATTTACAACAAAGATTTTTCCTGGTAACACGAGCACTGCTTCGGACTGTCTGACACAGATTATCTAAGATGCACACATTCTTTTATGTCATTTCCAAAAACATGACCTTCATATTTCAGAGACACGCAGGCTGCTGTAAAGGTCATTTGGTGATATAACTGAACCTTTAACGCAGGGTTTGCCTGTGGCTCTGCAGAGCACATGAATCAGCACATACTGTACAGTTTGCAGTTTAGTGAGTCAATGTCAGTGATAAGGACCGAGGGTTTCACGCAAAGAAATAAGAGGAGGTATTGATATTGGTGTGCTTGTAAATGGGGTAAAGTGGTTATATGCATGTGTTCATACCTTAGACTGATGTTGGCCTGCTGATTGACCTGCGTGGTGCTGTTGGACCGCCTCAGGTTCTTGATGGAGCGGGAGCTACCAAAGCTGACATCACTCTGTGGATTTAAAAAGCTTGTTAAAGAAATGAACTCTTCATATCAGGGAAAGATATGAAACAGGCAACTGAGAAGACAGTGCTGATTTGCTCATTCCTGCATCTTGAATGGATTATCTAAACAGCACAGAAGCACACATGTGGCAGTGCACGCTGACTCACCAGCGTGTTGCGTTTTCCTCTACTGTCACCAGCCACAGACACCGACACAGAGCGAGAGAAGCACTTCCCAGGTGACGCACTGCTGGGTCTTTTGGACACTGAGAGCTGGGAGCCCGACAAGCTGAGGTCCAGAGCATCTCTCGAGACACCTGTCGGGATGGATGAGGGGCTGCGTGTTTTATGCATCCTTTGAAAACCTGGAGAAGAGGACAACAGGCGTGGATGTCAGACAAAATGAAGACTAGGAGGAATAACAGCCCCTCTCTCCTGACTGACTGTCTCATCTCCACATATGAACATCCAAAAAAATAAAATATAAAATTATAAACAGATTGTGAAACTTAACGGTGACTGTGATACAATCAAAAGTTTTAAACTATCATTTAAAAGTAGAGATATAGATAAATATCAGTCACTATTATAATAATGAATCTTGTAATTCAGCTCTGATATGTTTATTACTTTACTTTAATGATGCTTTTAAGGTAAGACTGATCTGACCTGAGCTTCAGAGCACAGCTAATGCAGATTCTAATAAATAAGCAAATAAAGAAACCTCCTGTGGTGTCGGGTTTAGTTTTACACACATGTTGAAGATGGTAATAGTTGAGTAATATGCAGTCATATCTATCATAGTCATTATTTGGACAGTGAGAGTGGATGAAGAAAGACGTTGTTCAACTGTGCAGTCATCACTTTCTATCTGTACTATTCATTTGTGTTTTAATATTTCCTCTTTCAAGCTGTCACACAGTGAATCCGTCCACAGTGGGACTGATCTAATATCTCTCTGACTTCACTGTCCTGTGCATTAACAGCTGGTCACCAGGTCAGATGCTGGTGAAGCTGTGAGGTAACTAACCACAGCTCTCTGTCACTGTTGCTAAGGTGTAAGAACACAAACACAGCGTCCACAGCTCCTGGAAACACCCGTCCACTCCCACTGCTAGCTGCGTTAGCTAGCCCCACGGCCCAGTGAACGACGACAGATGAAGTAAACATCGTTACTTGTAGGGGAAGCGGTGAAAACACACACACACACAGCTGTGTGGAGCCACGCTAGCTCGCGACACCTGCTAGCTAAGCTAGCCGTGTGTAACGTGCGGGGCTCCTCCTCTGAAGCCGTGGATGTAAACACGGGTTCACTCGACAGACTCGGGAGACGATGAGCTCTCTCAGCCTCGGGTCAGCTCCTGGGCTCGGCCGCTTGGTTCCAGGACTAACACGAGTCGGTGCTTGAGATTCGGTTTCTTCAAAATGAAACAAGTTTCTTCATCAACACAACAGCTGGTGAGCTACTCACTTCAGAAGCTGAGTGGACGCATCGCGGGTCCGCTGCAGTTTGTTTCCTCTGAGGTGTTTCGATCACAGACGACTCGACTTTACTGACTTGAGTTCGTCCTGTGACTCGGTTCTGATCCTTGAGTTCGT